GGTGGAGGCGGCGGGGGGGAGGGGGGAGTGGGAATGACCTGGGCTAAGCAAAGAGATAGCAGGTGGCAAGGAGGTGAGAGACTGCCAGCAGCCTTTGTATAGCAGCCCTGCACCAGCTAAACACACCCCACTTCCATGCCGATCCAACAGGGGTCCAGTCTGAGCACACCCCGAACCACACCCCTGGGGCCTCACTTCCCTTCACGCGGGACACCATGATGCACAATGCCTCCCCCAGAGAGCAGCCACCACGACAGCCTGCTGGAGATCACACCAAGCTCCTGCCCAAACTCCAGCCCACTGAAATATTCAAGTTGGGATTCACCTCCTACCCTTCAAAGGTACCATCCCAACTTTGGTGGGGCAGCCACCATTCTTCCCTCAGAGAGAGAGGATGCCAGCATATCTGAGTAGACATAACTTCTTTAATTAAATTACATGTTCTCTGCATGCAATTTTTCTCTCAGATTGAGATAGGAACTTGGAATAAATCCAGTGAGAGGTCGTGTCCCCTAAAACAAATCCATCCCAACTTTTGTCTATGAGTACAGGGTTTATTTTGTTTTTGTTTTTTTGTTTTTTTTTTTAACAGGTCCAGACCACTTGCCATGATCTATGGCCAACCACAACACCAACTCGTGTGATCAAAGACCCACAACGAGCCACAGAGGTCAATGAGGAGGGATACCTGCAAAGTAACACACTTAGAGAGTGGTCCCTTAAAGAATGGACAAGGATCATGAAGAGGTAGATTTGCCAGGATTAGACTAATCCAACAGCATATAAAATCAACTCTGAGCAGAGAGGCTATGCCACTGCACACCCAGGGTTCCAGGCAGTCTAGAGGAATGGCTAAGGACATGGGCTTTAGGGCAAATACTGTGGTGCATCAGGTTAAGCCACCACTTAAGACATCCACACCTGATACCCAAGTGCCTCTGCTTCCGATCCAGCTCCCTGCTAATGCACAAACTCAGGGGCAGTGGATGTTGCAGGGAACATGGCTCCCTGACACTCATGTAGGACAGCTATTTGGGGTCCTGGCTCCTGGCTTTGACCTTACACAGCCCTTGCTGTTGCAGGCAGTAGGGGAGTGAGTCAACGGGCAGAAGAGTTTTTTTCTCTCTCCATCATTCTACCTTTCCAATTAAACAAACCAAAAGGACACACACAGACCTGGACGGTCAGTACTGACTTCATATCCTAGCAGCTCCACGCTTAACAGCAATGATGATTTTTCTGTGACTCAACTTCTCATCTGTCACTGGCCAGGAGCAACAACACCTCATAAGGTTAACAGAAGAATACAGATCTCAGTTACAGAGCTTAGCATAGTGGCCAGAACACAAGAAACCGCAAGGGGCATGCACCCAGGACATCAACCACATTCAGTTCCTGAATAGGAACATCAATGTTACCACAAACATCCCTATAGGCTGGAAGGCATTATCCTCATTTCAGAGTTAAAAATGGAGGTTTAGAAGGTTCAGGAACTCAAGTAAACGTATTCGATTTGTAAGTGGTGGAAGAGTAAAATCTTCCATCGCATCCCAGCACAGTTTGCTCTGTGTCATCTACCTCCAAAAGCTTCCAAGTATTTTATAACAATGATTCAGTACTGCAGCATCATGGATTCTTATGCAAAATTATGCACTTCCCAGATCCTCCAGCCACACCTGGATTATAATACTATGCAATTAGAACAACTTAATAAATTCTGACAGACGCCAAAAGACACAAAATTCTCTTACTGAAAATAGTATAGCAAATATGACTAGGGGGTACATAAGGTTTTTTTTGTTTTTCAGGAGTTATAGTTAGATGCTGATGAAGAATCCATATACTCTGATTTGCCTATACAATATTTCTCTTTCCAAATTTTGGTGTGCGGAACAAAATCAACAAGCGTCAATAGTCACTCCAAATATTTTCTCCCATCATCCCTTACACTATAGGAAAACTTCCAGTTACTTAGCTCCCCTAAAAGAAAATATACTCAAATTTAAAATGTAAGGAAAAGTTACTATGATGTCACAGGATGTATTTCAAAATATTAATATTTCAAGCCACAAATATTCACAACCAGTCAAATTTATAGCTCAAAAAAAAAAAAAAAAGACCTAATAATTTCAAGAAAAACCAGGCTAACCAGTTATCTTAGTCTAAACTTTCCCATCAAATGGTTACTCAGGATCCTACAAAGTTCTAAGGGTCAGCACGGTAATGCAGCAGGCCTAATCCTGTGCCTCTAGTGCCGGCATCCCGCACGGGCACCAGTCAGCATCCAAGCTGCTCCATTTCCAGCTTCCTGTTTATAGCGGCCTGAGAAAGCAGCAGAGTACAGTTCAAGTCCTTGGGCCCCTGCATCCACAAGGGAGATCCAGAAGAGGCTCCTGTCTTCGTGGCGGCTCAGTTCTGGACAACCAATGACCCTAGCCTCTCTCTTTCCTGTTCTCTACATAACTCTTTCAGATAAATCTTTTTTACAAAGCCATAATAATTCTTAATACAATTAAAAGCTTAAGGGTCAGGGCCTAGCGCCGTGGCCTAGTAGCTGAAGTCCTCGCCTTGAATGTACAGGGATCCAAATGGACGCTGAGTCTAATCCCGGCTGCTCCACTTCCCATCCAGTTTCCCTGCTTGTGACCTGGGAAAGCACTGGAGGATGGCCCAAAGCCTTGGGACCCTGTACCCACCTGGGAGATCTGGAAGAGCACCTGGCTCCTGGCTTTGGATTGGCACAGCACCGGCTGTCGCGCTCACTTGGGGAGTGAATCAACAGATGGAGGATCTTCCTCTCTGTCTCTCCTCCTCTCTGTATATCTGACTTTGTGTTTAAAAAAAAAAAAGCTTAGGGATCAATGCTGTGTCATTGCAGGTAAACTCATCATCTACAACATACTCCATGTGGGCACTGGTTGGTGTCCCCACTGTTCCACTTCCAATCAGACTCCCCGCTAAGGGCCTGAAAGGAGCAGAAGACGGCTCAGGGGTTTGTGTCTCTCACTCACATGGGGCAGCCACAGCAAGCTCCTCACAGCCATCTAGGAATTGAGCCAACAGATGAAGATCCTTCTCTATCTCTCTGTAACTCTGTCAAAATAATAAATCTTAAATTTAAAAAAAAAGTTTAATATAAAGAATACATCTGACTTTGAAAGTAGCAGTCTAGTGACGAGAATAAGCCAAGTCATGTAATTTTACTTCACTTTATATTTACTTTACCCAGGCATTACCTATTGTTGTCATCTTTTCTGGTAAACTTACAAATGAGATAACAAAACACATAAACTGTAGCATAACAGACACGAAAAACGTCTAAATTATTTCAAGAATGTACTGCAGCTTCAATTATCGCAAACTTCAAGTATCTTTTCAAGAAGCAGAAAAAAAAATTACCATGCAACTGTAAAAGTCAAATATTTATACAGGTGCCTTGAAAGCCTCCGTTGGGTGCACAGCGTCTGCAATGACATTTGCTATCTGCTAAGCAGTCTCAAAGTGCAGCGGCGAAAGTCGCACCAGCAGCTGGAGAGTGGGAAGTTTATGATAGCTAATACCCGGGAGAGGCGGCGGAGGTGTGATGCTTGTCCTAACTCCATCAGGCCAGCAACAGGCAGCCAGGCTGTGGCCAAACACCACCTCAGCCCAGGTGGCTTTCCAGGAGGGAAACCCAAGCCGAACCCTTCGTGGATAATTTAACAAGGACCGCTCCATAAATGTATAATGCCGTTTAAGCCTGCCTTATCGTGGCTTTCTGAGAGCTTTCAAAGACAACATTTCTGAGGACACAAGTAACAGGCTGCGAGGGAAGAAACCAGCTCAGCTTCAAATTGAAAACAGGAGGAATGCTTCAGAGGAGCACCTCCAAAGAGTTTATAAACCCTAAGTCACATTCCAGGAAAAGCTGTGAAGAATTTCCAGAAACAACAGAAGTTATCCCTAGTGACATATTATTTACATTTATAATTGGGAACACCTCCTATGATTATTACAATAATCCTAGGAAAATCTCCTTGTTAGAGCAAAAGGAAACATGGGACAGAGGAATATTTGTGAACACTCAGTTCCACCTCAGCTCCTGAACCTCTCAGATAATAGCCCTGCTATGCTTCTCTTCACCTCCAGGCAGGAATAAAAGGCATGACGGTACCAAGAAAAAAAAAATCTGCTCCACCATACCCCAAGTTCAGACCCAGCGTTTAAATCATCACTTTTTCACTGCAACACAAAATCTACCTTTTCAAGGCCTAAGAGTCGGTTCAAAGTTTTCGGGTAAAGACTAAAGGCGGTAAAATCCCCCCCAAACAAGCACTTCCCAAGAAGCCGAGGGGCAGGGCCAATGATTACACCCAACTACCGGAGCTAGGGGCGGCGACGGGACAGCAGGGCCTGGCAGGGGGGCGCATCCGATCACAACAACGTGCAGTCTCTGCTCCAAAGGCCAGTGATGCCACAGGTGGCCGGAGGGCCAGCTCCCCTCACCTTGCCATCAGGCCTGCGGCAGGCCCCGGGCAAGCCCCAGCCCCCTTGAGGCCCCAGGTGCCCTGGTGCGTCAACTGGGCCAACTTTTCAGCCGGGATGAGCTCGGAATGCGGCTCAGGTGGCCCCTCTGGGTCCGTTAACAGGACCGAGCGCCAAGCCAAGCCGGATGATCCCACCCTTCCCCGCGAGCCACGAGTGTCTTGAAGGTTTTCCCCCCGAGGGGGCGGGCGTCCCGAAGGCTGTGGGCAAAAGAAGGGGCCCTGGAAGGGGCAGCTCGAACTGGCCCTTCCAGGGCGTCGGGCCGGCTGACGCAGCCCCGCCTAAGGCGGACACCCCCCGGCGCAGGCACCCGCGGCCGGCGACGCCCCACGCGCCCCCACCGCCCCCCACCGCCCCGGCCACCGCCGCCCGGACCGGGTCTCCCGGACAACAAGCGCCGCGCCACTTGTGAGCCGGGTGTCCCCTCCTCCCCTCCCCGGCCCGCGCGCGCGCCCACCCGCGGCCCGGCCGCCCACCTGTCCCGGGGATCGATCCAGCTGGTCCTTCTGGTGTTGTGATCGATGTAGAAGACCTTGCCGTCGTAGTCCCTGGCCTCCTCCCAGCCCCGGGGTAGCGGCAGCTGCCCGCTCCCGGCCCGCCTAGGCATGGTCGGCGGCCTCGCCGGCGAGCGGCGCCTCCATAGGGACCGGGCGCGGGACGCGGCGGAAAGGCGGCAACTGCCCCGCCCGGCCGCCGCGCCCGACGCGGGCGCCGGCGAGGGGCTGCGGGGCGCGGCGCGCGGGCGGCGGGGCCACGGGCCGAGGGGGACGCCTCAAGAAACCCCTGCCTGCACTCGGCGCTGCCGGGGATCAGTCCACCATGTCTGCGCTCCCACAGGCGAGCGAACCCCCCCACCCCTCCTCCCCGCCGCCGAGCCCGCTGCCTCCGCCTCTTCCTCCTCCTCCCGCTCCTGCTGCTCCTCCCCGTCCCCCTGCGGCCGCCGAGGGTCGCGGCGCCCGAGCCGCCCGAGTCGCCCGAGCCGCCCGAGCCGCCGCCGCCGCCGCCGCCGTCTGGGCTCGGATCCGGGAAGCGCGGCCGAGCGGCGGCCGAGCGGCGCGCCGGGCCTCCTCATTTGCATGCTCATTAGCATGCGCCCCGCCCCGGCCCGCCCGCGCCCGGCTCCTCAGCTCGCACATTCCTCGCCGCCGCATTCCTGCGCTTAACCCCGCCGCTGCCGGGGCGCTGCGCGGGGCGCGGGGGAGGGGAACCCCGAGACCAGGTGGGCGGGAGGAGGGCTGAGGAGGAATGTGCCGCCCGCTGCCTCCCGGTGACCCCCGCACGTCTTCTCCCCCTCAGGAATAACCTTTCTTTGGGGAGGGGAAAGGGGAGAAAGTTCAGATGTTAGAGAAGGGGTAAGATTGCAAAAGACAACTCGCCGCCGCCTGTGAACCCTCGTTTACTGGGGAAAACCACAGACTTTGGAGAGGAAAAGGACCCACCGCGAGGGCACCGAGGCTCCCCGCCAGCGCTTCCCCCTCAGCCCCCGGTGGAAGGGGGCGCGGCTCGAGGGCGGTGCCCCGAGAACAGGCAGCTCCGGAGCTCTGGGAAGAGTGTGGAGCGTGCAGGGCGGTGTCCGGTCCCCCGCCGCCCCGGGGGCCTTCGCAGGGCGCCTGGCCCTCGCTGACCTCCGCGGAGCCCGCGGGGCGTCGCGGCGGAAGACGGAGGCGGGCCCCGGGAGGGAGACCGGGCCGGGCAGCGCTGGGGGGACACCCCGCGACCGTCGCCGCCACCTGCCACCCGCACCGGCCCCGCCGCGTCGGGGCGCGCTCTCTGCCGTGGCCACCTCCGGACGGGTGCGCCGGCCTCCCAGCCCTGCTGGGCTTCGTGCGGGGGGACGGGAGACGCGGGCGGCCAGGCCCTTCCTTCCGTCCAGCCCTCCCGCCCCGGGAAGTCCCCCACCCCGAGGCCAGCTGCGGCCTAGACGGCGTCGGGCGCCCACGCCGGAGGGAGCAGGAGGGAGGCCGGAGAGCTGCCGAGGCCATGGATCGGGCCAGCTACCGCATGCCACGCTGGGCTGAGGGGGGCCATTCTGCGGGCACACAATTGGCAAAGTGGCTTGTCTTAAAATGCCAACACCGGACGAAGGCCCAGAGCGCTTTCGCCACTGACTGCGTAACGACTAAGGGCCTTCAGAGCATTGGGGGCAGCTCCGCCTGCGGGCAGGAGTCAGGCCCCATCTCGCCCGAGGAGTTAGGGACCACTGTGGGATTCCCCAGAGGCTGCCAGCTCCGACGAAGAGCCGAGCTGACTGGAGAGAGTACAAGAACTTAGGGCTTGGAGCAAGCTCTGCGCAGGGACCAAGATCTGCCCCCTGAGGCCAGGCTTGGAGCAGAAACTTGAAGCCGCTAGAAATGCGGGAGCTTAGAGATCCTGATCAGGAGCAGACAGAGGAAGGAGACGGGGGTGGGGGGGGGGTGCATTCAGGACCAGTTCCCTAGCTTTCTTTGCACTTTGAGACCAACTTTGGATGTAGCTGGTCTTGTAATGCTGGCATCCCGTAGGGATGCTACACTTCCGATCCAGCTCCCTGCTGATGGCCTGCTTAAGAAATGTACTTGGGCCCCTGCACTCACGTGGGAGACCTGGAAATCCTTGGTTCTCGGCTTTCGCCTGGCTCAGCCCTGACCATTGAGCCCGTCTGGAGAGTGAACCAATGGAAGGTCTATATCCCACCCCACCCTCCCCCACCCCACCGCACCTCCCATAACTTTCTCAACAGAATAAATAAATCATTAAAAAGAGAGGCCACACTCCATTAATCAGGAGGCAATCACACACGGCAAGCTTCATTGGTTCCCGATTGGCATTTCGTGAGGCTGTTGAATACAGAGAAAAAGATGAACCCTAAAATTGTGCAGACCATGCCTTCCTCTCCCCACCCCAAACAATTTGGAAATATTTATCATTTTTTAAATGTCCACATCCTAAAGCGAGAAGAAAAAAATAACACACTTGGCTGCTGCCATGATTTAATTTGTTTTTTGGGGGATGAGCTAGCATACTGTGTTTCTCAGGATAATTTGAAATGTGATCAGCTTTCAGCTAAGTATTTTCACCCAAATCCTAAATAAATAGATAAACAAATAAATAGGAATCCAAAATAGTGAACACAACATTAAATGACATTTATTGTTCCATAAATCTTCAGACTTCAGAAAGAAATGCTAAATAGGCAAAACCCTAGAAGCGATGCAGAGACAAGCTCGCTGCTCTTCCTCTGGCTGGCATAGAAGTTAGAAGAATCGCTGCCCTACAGCCCAGTTTGCTTTGGTCAAGTCTGAACTCTGTTGTTCTGAGCTCACGTAATTTTCCCAACAACCTCCCCTTCGGACAATAACATTTCGTGTGTATCCATGTCCGTGAAAATAAACTAGGCATTGGGCCTGGCACAGTAGCCTAGTAGCTAAAGTCCTCACCTTGCCAGGATCCCATATGGATGACAAGTTTTTTTTTAAGATTTATTTTATTTTTATTGGAAAGGCAGATATACAGAGAGGAAGACCTTCCATCCAATGATTCACTCCCCAAGAGGCTGCAATAGCTGCAGCTGAGCCAATCCGAAGCCAGAAGCCTCTTCCTAGTCTCCCACGCGGGTGCAGGGTCCCAAAGCTTTGGGCCTCCTCGACTGCTTTCCCAGGCCACAAGCAGGGAGCTGAATGGAAAGCAGAGCTGCCGGGATTAGAACCGGCACCCATATGGGATCCCGGGTGTGCAAGGTGAGGACCTTAATCACTGCACCACCGTGCTGGGCCCTGGATGACAGTTCTTATTCCAGCTGCTCTGCTTCCCTTCCAGCTCCCTATCTGTGGCCCTTGTGGTCTAGCAAAGCAGTCATGGATGGCCCAAAGCCTTGGGACCCTGCACCAGCATGAGACACCCTGAGGAAGCTCCTGGCTTGGGATTGGCTCAGCTCTAGCTTGGGGGATGAGCCCCATGGAAGGGAGATCTTCTGCTCTGTCTTTCCATCTCTCTATAAATCTGACCTTCCAGTAAAAAATAAATCTTTTTTAAAAAAAAATTTTTAAAGAAACCAAAAGTAGTCATTATCCCCACTGTAGAGACCAATACATCTAGGTCTGGTGTGTGCTCCAGGTGATCTTAGACAAAGAGAGGCAACGCCAGAAGCCGGCTTGCCCTGTGCTGTGGAGCCTGTAACCATCGTGGAGGCTCTGCTCTCTGGCCTTCATCATTTGCTTCTCTCCTGCCTCAGGACTTCTCTCGTGCTGGTCTGTAGGAAATATTCTCCACGAACAAACCTCCTAGTGTCAGGGGAGTTGGAGGAGTAGGACGCAGGAAAACTGGTGATATCAGCATGGGCATAGACAGTGAAAATTATGTCAAGAGATAACTTCACTTATTCTGGAATGTAGAACAGCAGTCACAGTGCAGCGATTTTACCTTTGGATGTAAAACATCCTCGAGCTTTGCCAGGATGTTCATTGCAGCCTGTGTGACGATAATAATAAAAACCCAGAAAACCCACCAGTGGCCATAATACAGGGATTGATGAAGGAAGTAATGAATCCATACTTAGCAAGCATTTTAAGAGCGGTAAATATGCTCTTACCTGAGATGTCAGGGTAAAGTAAGTAGGAGAGAGGCCCAGAAGATAGTAAATGAAAACAAGCAAGTGTGGGTAGAAAGCCGCTGGCCGGCTAACTTCCCTGGTGTTACAATCCAGTTCTGGAGGTGGGAACATTGGTAACGTGCAACATGCTCCTTCCTATACAGTTCCTCTGTGTGGAGAAGCACAGATAGTAAAGGAAGTCAATGGAGAAGATGTAGCGGGTGGGGGAGGTTCCATGCAAAATATGTGCAAGAGTAAATGATCATTGAGAGAAAAGGTTCAGCTGGAGAGGAACAGAGAGGTGATACCACAGCAGGCCTACTGCTTGCGAGAAAATGGATGTGCAGAGTTCAAAGATGAATCTGGCGTGAAAGAGACCAAGACTGGCTGGAGCCATCCAGTGAGGAGGAGGTTGTGATAGGATAGGTATGAGACAGATAAGGTCTGGATTAGAAATAAGGCAAGAGAGGATGAAAAGGAATGATTTGGCAAGAATTTGTGACTGATTAGATTAAGGAGGTAGAGGTGAATAGCCAAGAAGAAGGAATTTGGGATGATTCCAAGATTTTAAGCTGTCAGACTCAAAGAGCTGGCAAAAAAAAAAAAAAAAAAGAAAAAAAAAAGGGCCGGGGGAGGGAGGGAGCAGGGAGAGTCCGAAGAGGCCTCTGATGTGGGTTTTGATTTTGGAAATGAGAGGTGCCCAGCAGAACAGCAAAGGTCATGACTGCAAATATTGGTTGGATATCATCCATCCGAAGTTCCCAGAGTGCCCAGGCTTCAGGATCAAATTTCGGGAAGGAAACGCCGGTACAAGTTGAATGGAATTAAGCAACCCATCTATAATCCTGGTTTTTGGCCTCTAACTCTTTGGTAACTTGATATGATTTTGTTTATTTCTTTCTTTGCAGTCTCCATTTCAGTCATACATGTAAGAATTAGTTGCTAGTGTGTGCAGCCACCTTTGAATGGATTATTTTTATTAACTTCATTGTTTTTCATATTTTCACATCCCTTGTGTTTTCAAAGGAGAGGAGGGTTTATAGAAACTGAAAATTATAACTATAAAGGAAAGTTCCCTTC